GTGTGTGTGTGTGTGTGTGTGTGTGTGTGTGTGTGTTCACCTCTATGGGCTCCACTGAGTGACTGAGTATTTCCTTCAACACAGGCAGATCATCTCTGTGCATGGTTGTAACTTCTCCCTCTTTGAATATGGAGGAGAACCTGTGAGAGGAGACGGAGGAGACAGGATTAAAAACATGTTCTTGAGTGTTGTGCCTTTAACCCTCAACGATGAGATTCTCTGAGGAGAAATGAGACCGACCTCCCAGCACGGCCGGCTATCTGCAGAGCCTGTGACGTGCTGATGGTCTCCATCTGTTTCTCCCCCTTCTCATTGACATTAGGCTTCACCAGACTGTTGAAGATGATGCGTTTGATGCTCCTGGAGAAAAAAAGGACATACAGAGAAATGGATAGATGTGATAGATGTTTTCCACATTTTCCCAGATAAAAATTAATGGATTCTTGATGAAAATAAAAATCAGGTAGATGTAGAGAGCTGATATCTGTGAGTGTGTGAAATCTTGTGCAGCTTGTATTATTACAGTGCGTATGATGGTACTTACAGATTGAGGCCCATTCCAATTGCATCTGTGGCGACCAGGATCTTGCAGGTGTCATTGGGGTCATTGAATTTCTTGGCCTGTGACAGCTTGGTGCCTGTAAATCACAGAAACAACTAAGTTTTTTTTTTTAATGGATGCTCCATTGTAATCAACAAGTTGAACCCAGAAAGATCCTGATGATTTTTTAGACACTGCTCCCACATGTACACACTTCATGGAGAAAAACTAATTTAGTGTGGATGAACATATCTTCTCATATTTCTAGCTCACTTTTTTTTTTAGTCAGGATTAGAACTAAGCACCGAGACGTAACAAGTTTCCATGTCATCAAAAACCATTGACTCACTCACTTGGAGGTAAACTCCCATAAATGACAGCACACTCCAGTCCTCTGACCTCGATCTGTCTGCTGATGGAGTAAATGTCATTTTTACTAAAGCAGACGATACAATCTCCTGGTCTCAGGTTGTCCAATGACTCCACAGCCTGATCCAGGATCGAGAAGGGAGTCAAACGCTGGTAGGTGTGCACCTTAAGAGGAATGAAGGGACAGAAACCTTATGAGGAAAGTGAATCAACCACAACCCTCCTGATGCACTTCATGCTGCAGCCTCACCTCCACCTCCTCTCCAGTGGTGTACATCAGCTCTCTAATAAAGTCGATAGCTGCAGGTTCTCCACACACATGGATCTCCTCTGCACAGAGACCTGCATCAAGACACAGACAATGTTAACTGTAGAGGTTGGAAACATCATTCGAGACAAAGCATTTAAACAGAACAAAGAAAAAGATAAACTTTATAAATCATTGCTGTTGCAAAAAAATGCTCATTCATTTATCTTTGGACCAAATTAAACAAAAGGGGAAAGACAAGGTCACAGATCTCCACTTGAGAAGTTGAGCCTTCAACATATGTGTGAGGACAGATGAGCTTTTCAGGTTAAATGTATCTATGCATAATTTTAGACTTTAGCACTCAAATTATAACGCTACTGTGTATATGAAAACTCAGAGAGAAGTTTTGTAGTTTTTCATCAATAAGACATTTTTTGTGCGAGTGGCTTGATTTTCACCCGTTTGTTGGTTGGTTGATTGTTCGTAACCAGGCTACACAAAAACTACAGATTACCACGCCAGGGCTTTTTTCAACACTTTCAGTTTTCCCAGGGAATGATTCAGGGATCTTGATGAAAAAAAAATCAGGCCTGTTTAGGGAACTGATGTTTATAAGTATTTAAAATGTGGTTGTTGTATTTGTTATGAATCCACCAAGGAAATGAAAAACTAATTGATCTTTTCCCCAAACATTTAACGCTTGACTGTGCACTAAAATATTGGAAAAGAGAGACATTTATTTAACCACACCTTTAAAAACTGACAATGAGGTTTTTGTGTACCCCAGTCTCCACTGTGAAAGATTGTACTCACAGACAGGGAGATTATTTAAAAAAAATGAAAGTGTCTTCATCCTACAGTTGAGAAGTTTCTTAATTAAAATTAATTGAGTATTTCTCGAAACTATTTCTTAAGGTCTCATCTGACCATCACTACTTCTGTGTGTATTTGATTGTATGTCTAATTTGAGTGTGTGGTACGAACCCATGAGTGCCCTGGTCCAGGCCCAGCCTCTGGAAAGATCTCTGATCATCTGAATCTCATCAATTACAGCCACTTCATCTACAGACAATAAATAGATACATAAATAAAACAATCCTGTGGTAAATATTCCAGATGATGTTCAAAAAAACATTTAATAAACAGATATGAGCTGATGAGGTTTCCACAGGGAGACAAATATTCAACCGAATTGTACGAGAGCTGTGTGAGTGACTTGATGTATAACCTAAAGAACAAGCATGAATCATTGGTTCATAAACCCCATAGCATTTCTTTAAGGAGAGCAACAAACACAAATATGGGCAAATCACAGTAACTTTAAATTTCTAGAGCTACATTTAAAATGAGATAACAATGTCCTACAGAGCAACGTTTTGTTTTGATGCTACTGATTGATGCTATGTGTTGTGTTTACTCACAAGGTGTGTTGACACTGCACATCTCAATGGTGCAGGCCACGTGACCAGCAGCTCGACCCTCCAAGTCCATGAACGTCCTCTCCTCTCCTGTAACCAGGTCACATGGTACACCCTGGTACACAAATGCACACACACAGAAGATATAAAAAGATGGCGTCTTAAGAATACGCACAGAGATGGATGATAGCAAAGACACAACAGACTATGTGAGACATTACAACAAGAATATTAAGAGAACAGAGGATACGAACAGCGTTATTGGTCTTCTCAAAGATCTCATGGGCCAGTAGTTTCAGGGGGCCACAGTAGACTCCAGACTTAGCAGCCAGGTAGCGCTGTATGGCGTGATAGGTTTTTCCACTGTTAGTGGGACCAGCATGGAAAATCACTTTCCTCTGGATGGCACGAGCCTCAGGGTACCTGACAAACAAACCAACAGAAAGATACTATAACCATGAGTGCAAGTTATAACACATGCATACAGATAGTGAAACCTAGAACCTTTTTGATGGAAACAACAGTGTGGGTGCCTGAGGGTTAAATCCGATATTATATGAGTTGAATTAAAAGCAGCTACACACCAGTTGGCAGGGACTCTGAGGTCAGAGATCTTTCTCAAGTCGTCCATACAGTCCAGCATGGGGAAGATTTGTTTGGAGTGACGCATGAAGTAAGGGTAGATGTCATCAATGTGACCTTGAGAGCAGCAGAAATTAAAAGTGAATCGATTCACAACTATAATTAGTTACTCATGCAAACATCTGGAGGCTTTAACCGAATCTAACAAACCTGCTCCACAGCAGATGTCACTGAGGATGATGTGCAGATCAGCGGGGAGAGATGATCCTTCCAGGACATGCTTCCTGAAGCTGATGAAGGCCTGGTGGAACAGACGAGCTACACACATGCAAAATACAACACGTAAGAAAACCACTGGACAATGCATGCCGGTCACATTTCTGTCTGAATTACTTCTGTGATCAAGGTGGCTTCAACTTGATGATTAGACCTCAGTGCATGATGGGAAACCCCTGGCTTTCTAGGTAGACATGTCACACTGTGACAATATATAATGATGCAGCACTCTTAAACCCTATGGTCTGACACACACACACTGACAACAGTGAAATGATTTCCTCACCATCCAGGCCATGATCTGAGGCCAGCTTCTGCATCTCCTTCCTCTTATAAAACCGGTTCAAAACTTTCAGCAGTTCATCTGAATCACAGACACAAAGAAAGATGTGTCAGTAGAGACAAGCACCAAACACTCAGAGCAATACAGTAACAGCAACAGTTCAAAGACAGGGTTGCTGTTTCTTAGGCTGGTTTTGTGTCGCAAACCTGGCAACCCGGAGGTCCAGATCTGAATGTACTGACCTTTAGCGAGCGGCTGCGTCAGCTCTGCTCCAACACTCCCGTCCACCGAGAAGTCCGTCTTCAGGGAGATGGGGACGAACAGAGAGGTGTCCGGGGCTTTGGGCGGAGAGCTGCTGGAGGAAACGCTTCTGGCCCGGGGATGTTTGTGTAACCACTCAGACACATGACAACTCGCTCCAGCGGTGAAACGGGTAGCCCGGCTGTTAGCGTGGAGCTGAAGCCGAGAAAGTAACCACGCACACCGGTTTACTGACATGGTTCCACCCCCGCTGTCGATACAGTCTGTGGGCAACCTCCAGACTCTCCTTACTGTCTCTCCATACTGTTCAGCACATCTAAATATGAGCGATAATAGTCCAGAGGACGCTCAACACCGTTCTTCTTCCGGGTAACACAACGTGTGATAGGACCCCTAGCTGTTTAGCTGCCCGCAAATCTACCTGACGTAAAATCAAGCAGAAAGTAATTGGAATTGTGAAATTAAAATTATTATTTAAACTTAACGGGAAGCTACTAGTTTGAACTAGCAAATGTATATTGCATTAATTGATGTGACATATAATGACTAGGTTTTTAACAAATTACAAACAGGCAATAAAATGACTCCTCTATCGTTGAGCCGAAGATCGTATGTACCAAAATGCTGATTGCCTCTAAAATATGTTGCTCTATGGTTCAAGTGGAGAAAACTTTATTGATGCCAATCATTCATTGACCACTAACGATGGAAAAGGTCTCAAATACAACAGTTTGCAAAACACAGAAAATGATCAAACATTCTCATTATGCTGTAGTGATCAGAGTTGGTACAGTTGCCCATCATGAAATGTGGAAAGTGGAAATAAATAGTAGAAATACCACACACAAAAAATGTCCTAAATTATTAAAAGACTAATATAATCAGGTCATCCATGAGTCCAAGTGAATGTTGAAATAAATTCCTTAAGATAGCACCTTAAAAAAATACAAACAGGATTTGTGACCTTCACCTTTGACCTTTGGCTACCAAAATCAACCCAGTTAATTCTTGAGTACAAGCGAATGTTTGCACCAAATGTGAAAGGATTCCGTTCTGGTGCTCCGGAGATATCACATTCACAAGGCAACAAATGTGCTTTGTGGAGTCACAGTGGCCTTGACCTCTCACCACTGAAGTCTATTCAGTTCATGACTCCCAATGAATGTTTGTACCAAGTGTGAAGAAAATCCCTTGAGGTGGTCTTCAGATATCGTGTTCAGAAGAATGGGACAAATGGACATAGGCTACGGACTGCCAACCAAAAAACATGATGCCTCCCTTGTCCTGTGTGTTTCTGTTTGAATATAGGGATTCATGGCTGTGATCGATTTATAACAGTCAGGAGCAAGTTGCCCCTTTGTGTGTGTGTGTGTGTGTGTACACCATTTTAAGCATAGACCCTACAGAGTGAGGACATTTTTATAAAGGGGGGATATCTTTACTGGTCCTTACTTACCTAGGGTTAGGCATTTAGTTTGCTTGGTTAAGGTTAGGGTAAGGGAACATGTTATGTCTATGAGTGTCCTCACAAAGATAGAAGTACAGATGTGTACTACACACATGGATAAAAAAGATGTGGGGCAGCAAAGCTAAAAAGGCTCAAAAAAGAAACACACTGTAGAGATACTGATCATTGGGTAAACCAAACCATTTATCTTAAACATTTTCAAAAGTGGGCCCACGAGCAGAGAACAAGGTGAGGACGATGATGCTAACCTTGAATGCGAAGAGGACAGTAACCCAGGAGCAGCCAATACTACTCCACAATATGTGTAGTCATCTTCTCTGCAGTGTACTCTGATCACTGACTGAACAGCAGTGCAGCATTTGCAGCCTTAGGAGAATTCCACAAAGATTTCAAGTTGGATAATAAATGAATTTTATAATGTAAAATATAAATGATCCTGACACTGTGAAGAAAATTGATGTTATTGTCAACTAAATATCCAACAACATACAATGAGATATACTTGTTAACAATAAAGATTGGACAGAAAAATATTTCTTCTTTAAAAAAAATATTGTTCACAAGATAATCAGTATAAATTTGCTTTATTAACTGTTTTTTTAAGTTATATATTTGGGTTTGGTGTATATACACACACACACATTATCTTTCTCTCTCACTCCCACACACACATTGATGGCATGATTCGACATCGTGTAAAGATACATGCAGTAGATAAGACAGGGGCAGAGAGTTTTGGCATTTAAGTGTTTCTTCATTACTTTTTAAAGAACACCAAACAAACCCTACCTGCACCATGTTCAGAAAGACAGAAAATATATCAGATAAATCTGACAGAGATACAAAGCAATAAGTGAAAATAAATTACACTGTTCCCAGACAAAGGAAGATCAAACTACAAAGGTCAACACTTGCATGAAGGAACCAAAGAAAAACTTAGTTGTAGCTCGTAGAGTGTTCAGACATGTATGGGAGCATGAGTTGCACGTCAAAAAACAAAAAGCAACAACATATTGTACTAGTAAATTCAATTAAAATAAGTAGTGATATATGATTGACAGTATATTTTCAATTACAGACAGGAGAGCTCTGAGGTGAAGTTTTCCTTGAGTGATGTTTCATTTTAGCTTCCATGCCCCTTTATACAGAGTTAAGCATCCAAAGGGAAACATGCAGAACCGCCCACAGATCAGAGCGTGCGGGCAAATAGGCCCAACACACTGGACTGGTTACATCACCAAACCATGTGTGTATGAGTGTGTCTTTAAAGCTGGACCTAAACTGCCGGTCTGAGCATCACAGTGGAACATTGTTGGATTTTACAGTATATTGACGCTGCACGCCTTCCAGTGCTTACAACAGCAGGCATGAGTCATATAATACATTAGTTTTCTAGGTCTACCAAACCAGCTTAAAAAAAAGAAAGTACACCTTGTAAAGAATAAGGTGAAAGTGACAAGAGTGGAACTACCGTCTGCTGATCATGGCAAGCATCATTTCGTTGATTCAATGAAAATGTAAATTGTTAATCGTGTGGTGAAGACACAACTTTTGTTTTCAGGTAAAAGTAACCAGGCAACGTGATCACCTTTCAAATATTTTTGAGCTTTACGTTTCTGAAATTGAAGACAATGCATTTCTTTCATCTATTAATGTGAACTGACACCACCAAGTTGCAAATAAATATGTTTTCTGTTCAGTCATACAAACTCAATGAGAACACATATCTCTCTCTCTGTGATCAGTTGCAGCTCTATATAATTGTAATTTACTTTTTAATTTTATGAAATGAATGACACTGAATTCATCATTTTCGCCTTGAGTAGAAACCTTTTCTGTATGAAATCAAAGTGGGTGGGAAGATGAAATTAAATGTTTAGATGGACTGAATCTAATTAAGTTGAGATTGTACTTGAAACCAGCAGTTTGCAGACTGTTGCATCATACTTGAATAAAACTTAGCAGCAGCTTTAGGATGAGCGAGAGCACAGTGGTGTCATTATTCACACTCATGTACTGTGTATAAATAGAGAGTGCAGGTGCCGACTCAGCCTGCATGTTGTTTTTTCAAGCCGATCCCTATTACTTGTGTACTTAATCACTTGGTAGCTCATCCAGATAAAAAACAAACCATCATTTTGTAGGGGGTTGGGATGGACGATACCGGAGAGCGTCCTGGATAAGTGCCGTCCAAACATGCAACCAAAAGAAGCTCCTGTTGCAGAAGAAAGCCATAAACTGTCTTTGCTCTGGTTTCATTCAGCAAACTCTATGGCTTCACCTGTGTGAGTTTGAGCATGTGCGTTTTCAGTCCGAGACGCCTGGATCGAACAGGCTGCCTCACTGTTCCTTTCATGGGTTGGCTAGATTTGCAGTCTTGCCTTGATATTTAGCATTCAGCAGACTGGTGCATCTGTATGCAAGTGTTTTCAGTCCTAGGGGAGACAGTGATGGTGGCAGGACAGCTCACATCAGAAGCTGTGGGGTGGTTTAAGGGGGGATATCTGAAGGTATGTTATGTGTATTCATGGATACAGACATTTCTCAGTCCAGGGAGATAGTGGGGCAGCTCTCACACCTCTGGCTGTTTAGCAGTGAAGAGTCGGGGTGTTTCTGTGTGGATTTTTAGTTCATGATGTCGGGCTCACATCTCTGGCTGCTCTGCATTAACCGGCTGGGTTCGGGGCTCGGGCGATTCATAGCGCTGATGGAAGTTTCTTTTCCTCATCTTCTCTGGGGCTTTTCTCCACAAAACGATCTCCTACACAAGAAGGCACAGAGTAGAGTTAAACTTCTGGTTATGAATAAATATGTACAAAACTAACGAAATTATGTCACATAAAAATGCTAAAACAATGCAGGAATGTATATGGGTCAAACATCACATATATCTTATAATCTTGTTGAATGGCAGTTAATGTTCAGTTTATAGTCAGACATATGCACTACTTTGTTGATGAGTTTCCAGGCCACTAAACAGTGTGCTCAGAGAAAAAGCGATACACAAATTGTATTATTATTATCATTAATTTAATTTATTTTGGTATCAACAAATTAAATTTGTATGACGAGTTGAAATCTCTATAAAAGCCGATATCAGATAAGGGATTGAGTAAACTAAACTAGAAATATATTGCTATAACTTAGCTGACACTCAAAAGTGTATCTCAGTGTGCTGAACAGATAATAGCTCACTGATGTAGAGAACCACAGCTGTGTGAACGAGGGTGTTACCTGTTGTTTAAAGTATCTTCTATCCTCTTCGTCCACCAGCACCAGATTAAGGAAGTAGCGCACTGAGAACTTCTTGTTGACGTCCCTCATGGTGGCTGTCAAATCATATCCTGTAAGGAAGCAGAAGATGTCATAAGCTGTCACTCAAACCAAAACTTAAATAGTAATATGCTTAATAAAATGTTTTAAAAAGGAAGACGCCATGAGGGAAAAGGACATTGTGATGACATGAGGTTGCATTTTGTCAGCGGCAGTGAGAGAAGAGCTCTTACCTGCCAGGAACAGTCTGATGGGGATTGATTCTCCTTTAACTGGAGCTCCATCCATGATTTCATACTTTGCAACAGTCTCCGTCTCAGTCGTAGTACTGGGACCTAAATAGAAAGACAAACAGATTCATTAAACCAACTACAGCATTTAACAGAAAAAGCTCTAATGTGATGAACTTTGAAGTAAGCACAGAACGATGCTACTCAAGTTTAGCTTATCTTTACAAATGGCTATCGGGGATTCTTACCAATGCCTGTTGTCTCCTTCTTGATGAGCTGCAGCTCCATGTGCTGGATCTTAATCCTGACCAGCAGGAAGTAGATCTTCCCAACAATCACATCCTTGAGGTGGTATCTTGTAAAGAGACACATGAAAGAAGCTGCTCAAACTGATGAGGGGCAGGTCTTAATCGGTCTTGGGGTTTTTACTTCAATCGAGAAGTTAAAGCAAAATGAATCTCACTTGGATTTATTGTACTCAAACTCGATGTGGAGACAGTCTTCTATGCCGACCTCCATCTTGATTGAGTTGTTGACATCTGGGTACGTGGCTAACTGGTGGACGATCAACTCGTATTCCTTCACTAAGTCAGAGAGACGACGAACTATTGTCACCCTGAGGAAATACCTGTGAGGAGCACACAGACACGCAAGCTTTAAGACCAAAACAGTGATGACTGATGCAACGATAATAATCCACTGCATCAACATCATAAAAAGAAGACATGAAATTGAGGTGTGGACTTTCAGGTATTTTTCTCACTCTTATGTACACACACACCTGGCTCACAATAATTTTTTGTTTCTAAGATATACTATCAATCACATTGGCCGTAACTTACACTTCAATTGTCCATTAATATATATTATATATTTTTGACAAGTTAATCATAAAAGCTGTGAAAAGTGTCCATGCTGTCTCACAGACACTTTCAAATAGTCACATTATCAGTACAAGATGAGTTAGCCCAGCAGACTGTTTACTTCTATAAGATTGAACATGGATACTCAATAACAAAGTTCATTGCCTGTCCAGAAAAATTGGTCAGAATGAAACACGTGTTTACAGTCACAGATATAATAATACATCCATGTGATCGATAATATATTAGAAGCTGCAGCTTTCCGCATGTTAAACTGTTATGATTGTACCTTAGCCTGACATTAGCTCCAGTGTAGGACTCGTAGGGCTTCTCCACCTGCATGAACTCAAAGTCGTAGCTTCTGTTCTGAGTGAGTTCTCCAGGCAGCGCTAACTCTTTCACCAAGTCCACAAATTCATGGGTGTTGCTCTTATCAGAGAACAGCTCTGAAATACAGCAGAGTGGAGTTTTAGTCTGTGTAGTGTTTCAAAGAAAACAATATAAACATGCATGAAACGGACACACACATTTTCTATAGCTTTAAAGGCGCACAGCTTTTGCTCCACAACAGCTAATGGAGGAGAGACTGAGGAGAGTTCAGCTCCACCAGAGCAGGCTGCACATGATGACCACATGCTCTGGTAAACCTTTTAGTCATGTGAGAAAATCCTAATGTAGAAAAGCAGTTTTAACAGCTACAAAGCATAAGCATTTTGCAAATGATCTGACTGTCCTACAAACAAAGCAAGAAAAAAGGTTAGGAGAGTTTATCATAATTATAAATAGCAGCTGTCTTTTCAACACCTCTTAGAAGAGACATGAAAGTAAAGTAAGAACAGAGAGATAATGAATACATCACTTTTATCATGCTCACCTATCTGTCCGACAAACTCGATGCGGATGCCCTGATGCTCGAGTCGCTTTCCTCCCTGCCTCACATTTAGATTCACCTGAACCAAAAAGAATGTTTTCATCATGACATTTGACAATATTACCAATTTACAAACACATTTTAAAATGACAAAGAAAAGATAGTCCATCCTTTCTTTATAGAACACAAACAACCACCCCCCCCAAAAAGAGCTATCCGTTGTTACAACATAACATACTGCTGGTGCTGTGTTTATACACGTTTTGGAAAATAAAGTGTTTGTAGTACTGGTCCAAAAAGGTTAGGCCGTTGAGAAAAGAAAATATTCAATGACAGTGGGCAAACAGCCAATCAGGTAGAAATGAATAAACTCCAATATTAAATCGGTGGAATTTAAAGGTAACTGCTTCTACTACATTCTGAGCAAATCTTGCAAACACATCAGAACAACATTTTTCCCATAGGACTCATTAAAAGCTGTTTTCAGACATGCACTAGACTCCGCAGTTCCTCTGGATTTTCTCCAGAGGAGGTACAGTGTCAGAGTGAGACACGCTGCAGTTTCTGTGGACTTTATCTGCCTGACCTCCAAGTATAACGTCAAAGTAGATGTCAGAACAGCATTGGGTCCCACGCTGGAAGAAATTTAAAACAAAACAAAAAGAAAACAAATATCTCCTGGTGAAATGCAAAGTTACACAAGTAGAAGACACCTAGAGTTTGTGGTGATAAGAGCTGACGACGGTGTCGGGCTGATGTAAACATGACCATGTGATCTCTGCAGCGGAGTTAATAAGTTACATCCTGCGTCTGTCTGCTGCACGCGGCTGCTCCAGCTCTTGCCTGAATAACGCAGAGGATTTGATGCCATTGTGAACGCGTCTGTGCAGAAAACCTCCTGCTGTGTTGTGCATGTGTGAAAGGCAAACTGCAGCCAATTCCAAGGATTTTACCGGAGGTCATGTCTGAAAACAGCTTAAGAGAGGATCCCACTACAGACAGAGAAGCTCAGTATCCGTTGACTGAGGTTACGTTCACACAGATTGAAATATGATCTCAGACAACAATTTTAGCTCTGTCTCAGACATAATCTTCATCCAAGGTCAGGCACACGCAGTCATTTTTTATTCATGTTGCCTTCACCACTGGTATTTTGATACTGATGCAATTCTGAAAAAGGTCCCTTGATAGTTTGTGAGTGTGATGAATCAAGGAAAGATGCTGCGACTGTAAGACCCAGTCAGGGAGTGAACGTAGGCGTCTGCATCATCTCAAAATAAAACAAGACCAGCACTGCTTTCAAAATTCAGTTTACCTTTCCAGACACAGACTCTCCATCATAGAACAGGTAGTGTTTCTCCACTTTCCCATCTTCTGTCTTCAACTCAGCTGTCTTTCTGTTCTCAGCATCGTTCAGCAGCACATCTATCTCACATACCGGCCCGAACAAACCTCCCAGGAAACTCTGAAAAAAGAGAATGCATCACAGTCAACATTGCTTCACATATGTAAAAATGCAGGGTCAACGTCAACTTTTCAAAGTTAACTTGTTAAAGGTCTGTGTGAATAATGACACATAGTTAATAGTGTTTCTTGCCACATTAATCCCCCAAAGAAAACAAAACAGCACATTTTCAAGCAGAGTGATAGTTAATGTCCACCTTTAAGGTTCATAATGTTTATACTTGTTGAAGATGCTTTACATTTTATATCATAAGGGATTTAGGACCACTGTAACAAAATCGAAAACAGAAGACATGACTGGATAATCCATGATCACAATGGAAGATCTATGTTGATTCAAGAGGCTGACACACTGCATTTGTGGTTTGTTGACACACTTGTCTGAGGACTGTGATGGACATTCCTCACTGTGAGGACTTGAATGTCACTGAAGGGTGTGGCCATCACAGGCTGGGGTTAAAAATCCAGCGGACCTCACTCACTCCCTGACTCAGAAAGATAACATCAGCTATTTACCACACTAACCCAATAACCCACCGCAGCTGCACAGACACATCCTCTTCCTCTGAGTCACTCACACACGCTTCAACACGCTGCAGCAGCTGATGTGGAGGAACTGGTCCGGTCATCCAGACGTCAGGAGGGACCAGTCCCCGAGTGGACGCGTGTGAAATGTTTGAATTCATCACATCCCATGACAGGAAATCAAAGTTACAGACTCAGGGTGGGAAGCTCCAAAAAATCAAACTACACAACTACACGATAACCAAAAAAACCACGATGAACACAATGACCCTGCATACAAGTCCGCGTTGTTTGATTATTAACTCAGTGAATGAATGAACTTGCACATCCTTTGAACACATGCCATCCAGAGTTGATGTTATAATACCACATCAGCTAGTAACAACTTCACCACACGGATCCATCAGAAACGTTAGCTAGCAGCCTCATCTCCTGCAGCTCCTTAGCTTCTGTAAAACACACACGTGTGTATCACAGACACACACAAGCTGCACTGGCTTCACTTATCCGTCACTTGTAGTGTTGTTATGAGCCAGCTGCTCAGCAGTCACAACACCACAGACACACAGACACACAGCCGGCAGGGGCGGCCTCCTGGCGCTACCGAGCCAGCTAGCTTTGCTACTAGCTTGAAGTAAACGAGTCAGCTGTCTGTCAGTAGAAACCTGGAGCTCAGCTCAATGTCGGCCTTTCACAAATAAACACCCGGGTTCACTCCAGCGGGGTCCGAGCGGCTGGTGTCCGTTTTTACACTCACCATGTCGGCCGTCTGGACAGTGGAAGCTAACAGCTAACAGCTAATAGCCTCGCTCCGTGCTGAGAGTGAACATGAACCAGGAGGTGGAACCGAGGCTCCGCGTCATGTGACCCGGGTCATGTGCGTGTTGGAGAGGTGGGGACCATATGACAGTACTGATGAATACTTCTTATTAATACTCTGTATCAATACTCCTGATTAATACTTCTTATTAATACTCTGTATCAATACTCCTGATTAATACTTCTTATTAATA